TGGGTGTTATGCACAAACAATGAATCATGGAACACTTCATCTAGAACTAATGATGTAATGTATGGGGATTAACATAAGAATAAAAAAAATATCTTTCATGTTTTCAGTGCTCCCTGTTCTATCACATTTACCACAAGACGACATTACCTTGGGACATTTGGGGGTGTTCTAATATCCCATGGGGCTCCCAGGCCCCCCCATATTTCCCATACAGGTTCACGTCAGCTGCTACCTGTAGACTCATCCCTTTCAGCTCTAAGACATATTTTCCCTTCTCTTCCCGCCGCTCCTCCATCTCTTTAGAATTGTAATAATGATACTTTATAATAATATTATTAATATTTTAATTGTATGCTGAGCTTTATGGTCTCCAGAACACATTACATCTCACTTCAGCCAGAGCCTGTGAAGTCGGCTGCACGAGGTGAATGGAGGCCCAAGGCCACCGGGCTAGGAAGCACAGGAGCCAAGACTCAGGTTTCTGACTTCCTGGAGGGACATGGGGGGCAGCTCCGGGCGCAGTCCCAGCACCTCTGTCCACCAGCCTGATGAGGGCTGCCCTGAGGCCCTGGTGCACTGTGCTCCGAAAGGGGGTTGAGGCCCATCAAGACCATACTTTTCAGAAGGCCCCCAGAAAGTGCCAGACCATATACCAAACTGCTGGGCGCTTTGCCAGGAGAGCCCATGGACCTATTTCCTGCCTCTGAGGAACTTCTGATATAAGCCAGGCCCCCTGGCTCCGACCCAAGTGTGACACACGAAGACAGCGGAATGAGGGGAGAACTGTGTGTGAACAGACAGGCTTCTCTACCGTAAGCAGGGTGAAGGGAAATTTTAAGGGTGGAAGCAAGGAAGATTATTTCTAGAAATTCCCATGGCAGGTATAATTTGCCTTGGGATTCTTCACCTTCCTCACACTCCCTATCCCGATGCACAAATAAATCACCAGGACAAAGATGGGACTGAATGAGAAGCACTTCCTCTCTCACTCTGTCATCAATGCAAGGGTCTTCTGTAAGGTGTCTTTCATCTTTCATGTTCCAGAATTCTGATGGCTTTGCTGCCAGGCTCTCACAAAAAGACGCTCAAGGGGAGGACTGTACCCCCTCCTCCCCTCTCTTCCCCCAGTACTTGGCCGAGCCGTCATCCCTCTGCCCGTCCCTGCCCAAGCCCTCTGGCTCCCTGAGCTCCTGAGTTAGCTAGGGGGCGGGGGGCTGGAAGGGCACACATGGCGGTGCTCAGAGCCAGGCAGAGGCCTAATGGGGGTGGGTGATGGGGGGGAGGGAAAGAGTCACAACCCAGATCAACGAGGGGACTTCTGTCACTTACGGAGAGAGAAGACAAACCCTGAGGAATGGTTTATCTTGTCTGGTACTGCAGTGGGTCCCTGTGTATATGTGAGACTCAGGGCCAACCCCTTCCTTTTGGGGCATCCTTCAATCCTCCACCTCCCATGGGGGCTCTAGAGCATGTGCAGTTGATCTCTTTATATCCTGAATCTCCTTACTGTTGCTTTTTTGTAAAATACTGGATTTTCGAGGAGCGATTTCTCAGGTTAAGGTGGATAAGAAATGGGACCCCAGGGCCAGATTTGCCTGTTCTGCTACCAACTCTATGACCCTGGACAAGCTCCTTGACCTCTCTGCCTCAGTTTCCTTTTCTGTAAAACAAGAGCTACTGATAACTACCTCACACGATTATGGGGGAGAGTGAGTTTAGGTAGGTAAAGGCCTTGATGCGTGGCACGGAGGGAACTTGTGTATGTGACAGCAGGTGTCATGATGGCTCTCCAGCCCAGGGAGGCAGCTGTGTTGTGTGGCTCTCAGACCTGAGCCCACATCAGAAGCCCTGGGAGCTTCCCATCCCCAGGTATTCTAACTCAGTAAGTCCAGAGTGGGGCCCGAGCATTTTGCCTTTCTCACGAGTCCCCGGGTGACGTAGATGCTGCTGGCCCGGGGACGACACTTTGAGAACCAGTATCATCCTTACTATCCATACCCAGATTCTGAAAGCAGCCACGGGGCCAAGCTCAGTGCTAAGCACCTTTCATGCAGCTGAGGAAGTTGGGGTGCTGCAGGTTCAATAGCTAAGTACCTAAGCACCTCAGTACTGAAGCTCTTTCAAGCCAGCGTGGATAGAGTACTTGACCCCAAGTCAGCCTGGCTCCAGAGCGACCAAACTCAACTGTCAGCCAGCCTCGGGTCTTCATTCAGCTGGTATTTATGGAGCAGTTGATAAACCCTGCCTGCATATAGCACCGTGGAGTTCACAAAGCAATCTCAAATACATTTCCTCCTTCCGTACGCACAAAAGCCTGTGAAGTAGGTCAAGTATTAATATCGCCCGCCTTTACAAGGAAAATGTAATTATGGATGAAAACGAAGGCTGGGAGCGGCCTGGCATCTTGCTCAGGATGGCGGAGCCGCCCGGCCTCCCACGCTGCTCACACGGCCGTGCTGGCCGCCTCCCAGGATGCTCCGTGTGTGCCCCCCGTGCAGCCCAGCAGCAGAAAAGCAGAAGGTGTGGGTAGACGCTGGCTGCACGGCTACCCTCTGGCAGAGAAGTGAGCTGTGCAGAAGGAGACTCCGTTCTAGAATACTTCCCAGGCAGAGTGGGACCCGGGTATGCCAGTGAGGTGAGCGCTCACTCCCACGCTGAGGCTGTAGGGAGAGGACATGGAACAGCCTTGGGAGACAGAGGCTTATCCTAAGCTGGAGGAAAGGGAGGGTTGGCTTTGTGGCAGAGGGGCTGGTGAAGCATCCTGGCGGACAAACTGGGGACAGGAAAGTGGGGGGGGCGGAACGGAGCAACCAGGGCCGGGGTGGTGGGAGTGGCAGTGGATGTGCCGAAGGAGGGCCCTGAGGGGAACCATCTGGGGCCAGGCCAGCTCCCCTGGGCTAGACTTGACCTTTCTCCTCCGGCCACCCCAGGAGCCCAGAGCACCTGCCCCGTCGCAGGCCCTCCCAATCCGGAGCCACGTTCCTGGCACCCCCGCTATCCCTCCAATTGCTCTGATTAGAGGAGCAAAAACAAGCCAGGTGTTACCAGGAAATGGTCTAATTAGCACTTAGTGCTGACGATTTCTGGTTTTTTTTTTTTTCTTTTTTAAATCCTGGACATTTTTTATTCGCTAATCATCTCAGTTCAACCAGCACAGAGCTGCATGCGATTTACCTTTTGATGTTCACAGAAGAGAACTCTTGAATTTCAAAGAGCCGGCAGGGATTTGGGGGGAACTGCATGCAGAAGCTGCAGCCTTAATCAAACCTCATTAGAGGGTATTCTTCAAGCAGGTTTTCCCTCTCGTGCTGCCTCCCTCCCTCCTTTCCCTGTCTGATTAGAGGACTGGTTATTGGGTTGGTGTGTGTTTTCTTTGGGACTCTCAATCCCATGTGGCGAGGTCTCCTCCCACCACCGCCTGCCCCTCCCTGTCCCCACCTCCCAACAGGGAGCTCAGGGCTTGGAGTCAGGGTTCCTCTCCCACCTTATACTAGTTGCCATGGTGAGAATTAAGGCTTCATAAATAAAAGTAGCTCCAGGCAAAGTTCTCCTCCTGGAGAGTCTCTGCATCCTGCTTAGACAGGGCAGCTCAAGAGAAGCAGGGCTCAGATCGGCCCACCTGAGAGAACTCACAGAGCCTCCGCCAGCACCGTGTGAACCCCTCCCTGACCCGTGCAGGGCCACGGGCACCCCACGGTGGGCGATGGGGCCCTGGAAGGTGTCTGAGGAACCATGTGGTCTGGGGCGTTCGGAAGTGGAATAAGGCCTGAGACCCCAAAGGAACATGGAAACCCAGCCTCATCCTGTGAGTCCAGATCCGCAGCCCAGGCTGGCACGTGAAGTCAATCCTAAGATCATTCCTGCCACACAAAAATAGCAGTAATTGCCACTTCGAGCCAGACATGTTGCTAAGTCCTCTAGAAACATTTTCTCTCCAATTCTCCCAATGGCCCGGTGAAGTAGGTGCTGTTGTTCTTATCCCCATTTTACAGATGGGGCCTCTTACTGCACAGAGCAGTAAAGTAACTTGCCCTAGATCACACAGCTTGTAGGAAGGAGCTCCTAGGCTGCAAGCTTCTGGCAGGCAGAGCGGACCCAGTGCTGAGCACATAGGGGGTGGACAGGACACATCCCTGGAGGGAATGACAGGCCACGGCTCTGGGCTGGTCTCTGGCAACACAGAGAGTACTGACGGGGCCCCTGCCCCCAGGGACAGGACCGTCCAGTGGGGCCAGCAGACCAGTCCTCGGAGTCGGGCATGATGAAGGCCGCGGGAAGCAGAAACAATTAGTGCTCACGAAGGAGCGGGAAGCTGTTAGGAGGTGCGGTGAACAGGTCCTTGTGGCAGAGGAGGGGCATGTCAAGCCACGGCAGCGAGGGTGACCGGGATCTCCCTTACGAACAAGCAGGATGCCACCAGATGAGGGCCCTGGGCATGAGGAGGCTGCAAACGGGCCGTGACCAGATCGTGAAGAGCGAACGTGCTGAGGGTTTGGGGGGAGATGGTGACGAGCCACGGTGGAGGCTTTGTCAACTTATTTGTCTGCATTAGTGAGGAAAGTCACACAATGAGAGATCAAACTGAGCCTGCAGAGAGCTCACTCTGGAGGCCCTGGGAGGACGGCCGGTCAGGTCAAGGCTGCTACAAAACATCGGTTCAAAAGTTGAACCGGGACGGAGGTGTAAGAGGTGGACGTGGTTTGAGGGACCTTCTCTCGTAGAACCAGCAGGTGTTGGTCACTGATTTGGTACGGGGTTTGGGGCGGCGGCGGGGGAAGGCAGTCACTGCGGATGACCCCTGGGTTCCCGTCTCGGTGTGGAGTGCATGCGGCAGCATTCACTAGGAGAAGGCAGGGTCCTATCCCAGGGGCTCACAGGTGAGCAGTGTGACTACACAAGCCCTTGGGTTGCCCTGAGTTTTCATTCCTCAAATGCGATGGTGTCTTAGAGCGTGGGTTAATACATGGGTTTGCCACTAGACGTCATAATTATCTCCCCTCCTTCCACCTTGCAGCGTGTTAAACCGCACGCCGATGAATCTGATCCAGGAGATCATATTAGTGGATGACTTCAGCAATGACCGTAAGTGTCGTCACCCCCTTGCTCTGTAAGTACAAGTTTCTGTTCCCAGCCCCTGCATAACAGGCAGAGGCCAGTCCACTGGTTCTCCGGGGATGGAGAAAAGCCTGGGTTTGTGGCAGGTGTGGAAGACTTCGAGGGTCTATGAGGGGCTCAAGAGGGAGACAGACCTTACATTTTAAAAACAATGTCTTGGATTCTCTGCTGCGAGTCTTTGAGGACCTACGTAGTAAATTTAGTAGATCCTTGATTGGGTTGGTGTGTGTATATGCATGTGTGTGCACACACGTGTGTGTCACTGCCCCCTACTTACACTGGACATGGAAACCTTTGGAGGATTGAGCCTGGGACCCAGAGCAATTTATATCACTAGAGGTTCCTGACTTATCTGTGGTCATCTGCTAGCCTGAGTGTAGGCTGAAACACCCCCTCCTTTCATTCTTGCGGGAGGGCTGGGTGGGCTCCGCGGGAGAGACGCTAAGGTTGGTAAACCAGCGAAGCAAAACCAACATGGTGGGGTCCCAATGTGGAGTTCAGAGGATTGGTAAATCAAGCAAGTGATGGGGTAAGCAGGCAAGCCAGAGACAAGTCCGGGGTGATGCTGGAGATGGGATCTCTTCATGCCCATTCTGGCACATTCCCCCGAATGGGGGAGAGTTCAGCCAACTCTGTGTGATGGGATACAGTGGACAGATCACTTAACAGATAAGGTCTCCAGTATCAAAAGTCTATGATCAGAAAGGAAAATCCAAAATTCATCTCATCCATTGTGGGGTCTCCCAGCAGTTTTTGCTAGACTCCACTAGAGTGAGCAAGACTCTTGTCTCATGTTTTTAATGGTCTATAGAAAAGGAGAAGAGTCTCCAGGTGACCATACCAAGAATTCCCATCTGGAAGTGCTTCCTGATAAGAACACAGGTGCTGATGTGCGACTGACCTGCTCCAAAAAGGCCCCTTTGGGCCACTTTGCATGGACTGGGCCACATTGCATATAAATAGAAGTGGTCAGTCAGCCTCATCCAAAACCCACAATCACCCTGGAGTCGGGACAGGGCTCTGCGGTTGGGGACAGGCTGGGCTGCCTTACCTACTCTTTGGGTTCACGTCCATCCCAGGGTGCTCACACCACATAACCTTTTGTCTTCGCAGCTGAGGACTGCTTGCAGCTCATCAAGTTGCCCAAGGTGAAGTGCATTCGCAATAGCGAGCGGCAAGGTGGGTCTGTGCAGCTAGGCAGGACCTTGGAGCGTGAGTGTGGGGGGCTGGGGGGGGGTGTGTGTGTGCATCTGGCTGTGTGTTCAGTGTGCAGGGGATGTCGTGTGGCTCCTCTGTGAGCTCTCTGGAAGATGGAAGGACAGGAGCCCCCACTTGCCCATTTGTCCCTGCCACAGGTCTGGTCCGGTCCCGGATCCAGGGCGCTAATGTTGCCAAGGGCACCACTCTGACTTTCCTGGACAGCCACTGCGAGGTGAACAGGGACTGGCTCCAGCCCCTGCTGCACAGAGTCAAAGAGGTGAGTGGGGCAGACTGAGGGTCAGGGTGCTGCGTCCCCACCTTCTCTAGGCTCTCAAGCCAGTCCTTCACATTTGTCCCCTGCCGGGCCCTCTGGGAGGGGGACGGGACTGATTGCTGTCCCCGTGTTATAGATGGAGACACTGAGCTAGAGCACCCTGCCACGGTCACACAGCAGGCGGTGGTGGGGCAAAGCCGGGGACCTGGTCTTTGTATCCCGCTGTCAACCCGCAGCAGACCTGTGAGTGGGGCTGCTGGCCCCCGCTGATAACGTGACGCCGGCAGCTTCCTGGGTGAGAGAACCACCCAGAACTATTTCTCCCAGACAATAGAAGGTTCCAGAAAGGGAGCCCTGTTGAGTGCCTTTTGTGACAAGGAGGCAGTGGAGTTAACTGGTCCTCGTCACCCAATACCTGAGGCTTCTGTCTTCCCTCCACCCATGCATCACCCTTGCCCAAAGGCTGACGCAGGTGACAGGATGCTGAGAAACCTGAGTTCCTGGCCTCTGCCTGCCCTTAAATTGCTCGGGGATTCTGTGTGCTTCCGCTCTCCACGTCTGTTAACTCCTTTTGAAAGTGAAAAAAACCTTTCCTTAATGTTCCCATTGGTATTATATATTCCACAAAGACCGTCCACCCCCGTCCTGATGTACAGAAGGCACTGTGTTGTAGGAGCTTAGCATTTGGGCCGTTCCTGTCCTCCCTGATCTACTGACTCCCACAGCTGCTCTGTGAAGTACGAGGCCGGGTATTTTTCATATACCCATTTCACGGATGAGGACACAGTGTCAGGGGAGAGGCGTAACTTGGGCTGATTCTCCCTAGCTGGTACCACGCGCACCAGAGCCCCCACACCATCTCCCCTGTGCCGTGGTGATTTCCTTCTTGCTCTTTGTGGCGGCTACCTTGCTCCTCCCTGCAAAATGACAGCATTGAGGATGAAAGAATCCGTACGTGTGAACTGCTCAGAGAAGTGGGAAACCCTTCCTGACTCTGTTAGTTCTGATGAGAGCTCTCACACGTGGGCCTAGATGTGAATCCCCGTCCCCTGATCGCCTTCCCTGAGATTGGGGCGGACACCGACCGCCGGTTAGGAAAATCCTCTCTCCCCTCTTTCTGGCACAATCCAAGTGTAGGGGTCTGCATTGAGAAATAGTAGATTATGAACAGGCCATTTAGTTGAAGGGCTTTGCCTGGCCCTAGAGGCCCTTCCAAATCTTCCCCTCGCTGTGTCCCAGAGGGGAGGGGCGCTGGGGGTAGGGCTGGAAGTGCCAACCCTCTGTCATGTGCTTGGTCCACCCCCCCACCCCGGGAACAGTCACCTCATTAGCATAAACTCAGGTTTGGTGAGAGAGGATTGCTATGAATCACGAAGATGCCCCTGTCACCCCATCACTCAGGAAATCCCAAGGATTTCAGAAGCTCTTGTGCAATGAACCAGGAACAAAGACCAGGGGTAGATTTCTTCTTATATCACAACATCACGGTATATACCACATTTTTAGTTAAGTTTTTAATTTTAATTCGAGTATAGTTAACATACAGTGTTAGTTTCAGGTGTACAATAGAGTGATTCAGCAAGTCTATATATTGCTCAGTGTTCATCACATCAAGTGTACTCTGAATCCCCATCACCTGTTTCACCCATCCCCCCACCCACCTCCCCTCTGGTGACCATCAGTTTGTTCCCTGTGGTTAAAGGTCTGTTTCTTGGTTTCTCTCTCCCTCTCTCCTTTTATTCCCCTTTGCTCATTTGTTTTGTTTTTTAAATTCCACATGTGAGTGAAATCATATGGCATTTGTCTTTCTCTGACTGACTTATTTCACTTAGCATTATACCCTCTGGATCCATCCATGTTGTTGCAAATGGCAAGATTTCATCTTTTTATGGCTGAGTACTATTCCACTGTATATCTATACCACATCTTCTTTATCCATTCATCAGTCAGTGGACACTTGGGCAGCTTCCATAGTTTGGCTATTGTAAATAATGCTGCAATCAACATAGGGGTGCATATATCCCTTTGAATTAGTGTTTTGGTATTTTTTGGGTAAATACCTAGTAGTGCAATGACTGGATCATAGGGTAGTTCTATTTTTAACTTTTCAAGGAACCTCCATACTGTTTCCCAGAGTGGCTGCACCAGCTTGCCTTCCCACCAACAGTGCACGAGGGTTCCTATTTCTCCACATCCATTCCAACAATTGTTGTTTCTTGTGTTGTTGATTTTAGCCATTCTCACAGCTGTGAGATTGTATCTCATTGTGGTTTTGATTTGCATTTGCCTAATGATTAGTGATGTTGAGGATCTTTTCATGTGTCTGTTGGCCATCTGTATGTCTTTTTTGGAGAAATGTCTGCTCAGGTCCTCTGCCCACTTTTTAATTGATTGTTTTTTTTTGTTTTTTATCTTTTTTGTTGTTGAGTTTTATAAGTTCTTTACATATTTTGGAGACTAACCCTTTATCAGATAGGTCATTTGCAAATGTATTCTCTCATTCAGTAGCTTGTCTTTTAGTTCTGTTGATTGTTTCCTTCACTGTACAGAAGTGTTTTATTTTGATGTAGTCCCAATAGTTTATTTTGGCTTTTGTTTCCCTTGCCTCAGGAGACATATTTAGAAAAAAAATGCTGTGTCCGACGTCGGAGAAATTACTGCCTGAATACTACAGTTTGTTTATCCATTCCTCTGCTAATAGACATTTTGGGTTGTTTCCACCTTTTTACTATTGTAAATAGCACTGCTATGAACATTAGTATGTAAGTTTGAGTACCTGCTTCCAATTCTTTGGGGTCCATACCAATGAGTGGAATGGTGGGGTCACATGGAAGTTCAGCGTTTGACCTATAGGACCCCACCCCAGGCTGCTGTAGCCCTGCAGGATATGTTAGGGGGCCTTGCTTTCCTTAGACAGCTTTAATGAACCCTTTCCACCCCAGGGCCTCAGAGACCTTCACAGAAGCTCTCTCTGAAAAATGCTCTCATTGCTACATCCCTGGCCAGGCTCACCTGCAGATCAGAGAAGCCTTCATTTCCTCCTTCCTCCTTGTGAGTGCTCCTTGCAGCCCAGGCTCCTGTGGGAGGCATTTGGCTCCACAATAGAGCTCACCCTCCCAGGCTGAGCTTCCAGTCCCCACCACTGTCTGACCTAAAGCTTTGGTAGCAGAGGACTGGTCGGACAGACCCAGGGCTGTGGTCCGACTCTGCCCCTTGCCAGGGCCACAGCAGCCTCCATGGGCTGCAGAGGTTTCTACCAGACCCTGACTCCAGTTGATGGAACATTCTCCTGAGACATCCCCTTCAGGACAGGGATGTGGGCATGTGTCAGGCTGTGTTAACACGTGTCTTTGTGTCTTGTCTCAGAGTAAAACGTGATTTGTCTTGTGAGTGGAAGTGGAAACTTTAAGCTGTAATTGGAGTTGGGGATTTTCAAAAATAGAAAGAGATAAGAAAGAGCTGGGTTTGGGCTGTCAGAAGCCGTCCTCAGCTGGTCTCGTCCACATGGAACCCCCTCGATGTCCTGTTTCTTTTCTTCAGTTACTCAAAGATACTTGAAACAAGCACCAGGTTGGCTTTAATTTTTTTAACAGAGGCCTCTTTTTTCCCCCCGCTCCTTATCTACATATTTCTTTAGTTGGAAAAAAGGTTTTGAGAAATTTCAATCCCTGTAGCATTTGGTAAATTTATATAAATAATGGCTTACATATGCTTCAATGCCTTTCACACGCCTCCCTCCCATGTTCCATCCAGAAGCCCTGTTAGGAAGGCGAGATGGTTTTGCAAATAATAATTTGTCTTCACTTTATAGATGAAGAGACAGTTCCTCAGTGTGTGCTGGTGTGCTTTAGGTGACATGTATTCTAGATGGCAGAACCAGAACAAGAACCCAGGTCTCCTGTCACCTCCTCAAGGACCGCTCCTTCTCCTGCGCCCCTACGTCCAGGCTGCCTTAGAAGCCCCATTGTAATCCTCTGCCACCTGTCCTCCCCCTTCCCTAGACTGTGAGGTCTTATTCGTCTTTGTACCTGCCACAACTCCTAAACTATAAGAGGCACTCCGTAAAGCTGGCTGACCAAATGAGTGAATGATCTCTCTAGGAGGTTCTTTTTTAATTATTATTTTTTTAGAGGAGTGGGCAGAGGGAGAGGGAGAGAGAGAATCTTAAGCAGGCTCCACACACAGTGCAGAGCCTGACGCGGAGCTTGATCTCACAACCCTGAGATCATGACCTGAGCCGAAATCAAGAGTTGGATGCATAACCAACTGAGACACCCAAGTGGCCATCTCTTGGAGTTTTTTGAGGACCTGTTCCCAATGTGGTTTTCATTATATGAACGGATGGAGAAAGGAGAGGTGTACTGCAAGGATTATTGATGGCCATTGGCTCATGCATTCAGCTCCTGTCATTGCTGGGCTCCTGTCCATGGGGCAGGGCCCGGGCTCAGATTCGTGTTGGGGAGTGGGGAAGAAGGGGTGCAGTCCTGGGTTGTCAGGGGTTCGTCCAGCTGCCTGATTAAGCCTACCTGTGGGCCTAGCCTGAAAGGCCATCCTCCCGGAGCACACAGCAAGGACCTGTGGTGGGTCTGGGTATCTTTATGGAGAGTCCCTCTGTCCCTGAACCTGTAAGAGGAGAGGCCATCTTTCTCAGCGGAAACTGACCCTACCTGCTTTGCTGCCGGCCATTGACATAGCGTCCTCAGAGGGGGTTAATACCTCTGTAGCCAACGCCAATGGATTACCCGCTGCCCAGCAGGCTGTGGGCTGGTGCTGAGGACTACACAGGTGGAGCAGTTACTGACCCCCTAGGTCACTCAGAGACATTTGTGTCCTGGCCTCAAGGCTCATGTATAAAGTCTCGTGTAGCTTCTTTTGAAGGTCATGGCTCCACACAGCACTTATCCCCAGATGTCCCTGATCACCTATCTGTTCTCCATGACTCAAGCAGACACCACACATGAGCTTTGGCAGGAATAAGAGAAGGGCAGAAGCCCTCAGAACTTAGAGGGAGAGGTTACCAGAGCCGATGAACCCTGGAGGCGGAGTCCCTGGGTGGCTTCTGGGGAAGGCTGTGGCCGAGGTAAGCAACCAGCATTTTATTTTGTATTTCAGTTTCCAAATATTGAGGAGAAATTAAAAAGCCAGGATTGCCGTTTGGGGGGCCCCTGAGACCACCTTCAGGTTCAGTAATTCACTAGAAGGACTTGGAACTTAGCAAAGCTGTTATTTTCATCATTGCTGTTTAGTATAGCAAATGGATACAGGTGAGACTCCGCAGTGGGAAAAGGTGCACAGAGAGAGTTGCAGACATGAGCTTCCAGTGGACTGCCCCCAGTGGGGTTGCAGAGACAGCACTTCCTTCTCCCAGCAACGATGTAGAACAGCACGTACAGAGCGTTGAGAAACAGCGAAGCCCACCCAAGCCTTGGTGTCTGGGCTTTCTGTTGGGCATCAGTCACATAGACATGGGCTGACCCCCATGGTCTCCATGCCCCTCCAGAGGTCAGTTTGAGCTGGTATACCACACAGCCCAAGGCCCTTAGTGTAAGTCACACTGTTAGCATAGACTATCTGGTATATTCCAAGGCTCCCAGGTAAACAGAGGCAGGACATTCTGAGGGCTTAGAAGTTACTGCCCAGAAGCCGGGCAAGGGCCAAACATATCTGTGGGCAAGATGAATCCTTGACCACACAAGCATCTATGTAAGGACTTAGTGAAGCTACAGAGACCCCAGAACTCAACCAGCAAAGGCTAAATGAGAACTTTGTCAGACTCACAGGAGAAGTTCAGTCTCTGAACTTGTGAGAACACGTCAGAATTCAAGTCACAGGAATATCTTCGGGGTTGTGTCCATGGGCAGGTATTGGTGTGGGTGGCTGGGTGTGTGCATGCCGTGTGCGTGTACGCACACGCACACACACACACACAGATGCAGGATGACAGTGCCTGAGAAGAGCCTGGAGAGCGGAGGCAGCTGGGCAGGTGCCGTGTTGACTGTGGAAGAAGCATCTGTGCACGTCCCAGCGGTAGAAGCAATGCACTGAAAATGAGCATTTCTTTCCACACGGGCCACTCGGCTTCCGAGGTACCTTGTCACTGTCAGGATGAATCACATGTGGAAGCTGAGGGCCAGATGAAGTCTGTGAACATAAAAACAGACACCCGGTGAGTCTGAGCTTAAAATAAGAAGACAGCCTCATTTGGGAGAGAGATTGAACCAGGAAATGAAATGGCTGCAAGGAGAAGCAGAGGCTCCTGCCCGTGCAGGCTGGTGGGGGAGGGGGAGAAGGGGGAGGACTACAAAAGTGTCCTTGCTTGATGTGCCCACACCTGCTGGTGCTCCCAGGCTGCCTGATTCCCACTTGGCTGTGGAGTGGCCTTCCCACTGCCCCTAGTCCCTCCTTCTGTGAGGTACAGGGTGTTCACCCAGAGCAGGGAAGGCTTTAAAAATCTACGCCATGCCTTGACAGCCCCCAAGCACTGGTGAATATGTCTTGCCTATTTTGAAAACGTTTCCTGAGTGGCTTTGTTGCCTGTGGACAGTGTGGCCTGCAGGATGCAGCAAGTGAGGAAGCTGGAGGGTGAGCTACATGCCTTTTGTGGATGGTCTTGAATGCCAAGCTAAGCGAACCTTATCTTCCAGGCAGTTCAGGGTTTTAGCTGCTGAGCTGCAGAGTGAGATTTTCCCATCGGAATGACAGCTTCCCTGGCCACCAAAGGGAAGAGGGTGAGATAAGATCAGGAGTCTACCATGGTATGCCAGGCGTGAGGGAAAAGGAGAGGGCATGCTTAGAAGGGCAGTTCCTGAGTTAGAATGGGCAGGACTGATCAGGGCAATGGGCAGAGGCGAAGCTTCTTTGTGCTGGGGAGGCAGAGGGCTACCCGATGGTTCTGTTAGCAGAAATAGGCAAGTGAGGGAAAGGAGCACGTTTGGGGAGAAGATGATGAAGCCATCACTGAAAGCTTGTGTGAAATTCACATGGAAGGGGCCAGTGGCCTAGTGGATCCGAGGCTGGGAGCAAGGGGGTAAGTCAGGGCTGGAGGCACAGATCTGTGAGGACCACAGGTGACATCTGAAGGTAGGAGTCTCCAGAGATGCTATTCATCAACTTGCCTAGAAACAAACGCATCGAATGAAAGTATTTGGAAATTCCAAGGTGTTCTTCATGTGGGTGTATGGCTTTGCTTCATGCAACTGAAGGCTGAGGTCACCTTCCCAGCTGCCTGTGGCCTCTGCCTTCTGAGAGCCCATTGGTGGTGAAGGACTTCTTCCTCCCTCCCGCTTCCGCAGCGTCCTCACTCTCCAGCCACCCATGCTGTCTCCCCGCCATGCTCAGATGGCTCTTGGGGCTAAGAATGCCCCCAGAAGTCAGAAAAAGGCTTATAGCATTTTAGGCATTGAAACTGGAGAGGCCACAGCATCCAGTGGTCCATTTTATAGATGAGAAAATTGAGATCCAGAGATGGAAGTGCTTGGTCAGGGCCACAAAACCAGCCTGGCATTACCAGGACAAGGCCCTCCCATGCCCGCTGATTGCTGGCCTGGCCCCTTGACGCCACAGACTGAGCCTGGAGTCTGCTTTCTTACAGGACTACACGCGGGTGGTGTGCCCTGTGATTGACATCATCAGCTTGGACAACTTCAACTACATCGAGTCCGCCACGGAGCTCAGAGGGGGTGAGTGGGACCAACGCCTTCTCCCCAGCGAGGACTCATGCTCCCCCCTGGTCGGCATTTTCTAGGGGGAGAGTGGGGAGACGTCTGCTAGTGGTTTGTCTGGAGCATCCAGCCCTGTGTCCTATAATGTCAGTAGCTCCAGTGTGTCCTTACCACTGAGACTATGAATGGAATGACCAGGGGGGCGTGCAGGATGCACCCAGACCCCAGAGCTCTGGCTCCAGTGTGGGCTCGCTCTGGGAATAGGAGGGAAGCCAAGGACCTCCTGGCTAGGTGGGGCCTGTTCTGGCATCTCAGCATTGGGCACCACGTGCTCTCTGAAGCCCACCACGGTTCTGCTTAGGGCCTAGTGTTGATCCCTCAAGACTGATCTGAGGGGAATCAGCCCCATAAAAACCTGCTCGCACCTTCCCAAGGCTCCTGGCCAAGGGCCACACCCATAACTGTCCATCCTGTCCCCCTTGGGCTCTGTTGAGCCTGACTCTGTCTTCTGCCTTTTATCCCCTAACCGTGCCCAGCAGGGAAGGCTCAGAGAGGCAATAGAAGGAAACTGTGAGAGGGAAATCCGACGGCCTTCTTGCTGATCAGCTTGGGTGAGACCTGCTGTCTCTAGGCCCAGCTTCCCTGGATGTGTTCATGAGCTTCTAGAGAAGGGATGTGTCATGCAAATCAACTGAGTGCGTGCTGTGTTCTAGGGTTTGACTGGAGCCTCCACTTCCAATGGGAGCAACTCTCCCCAGAGCAGAAGGCTCGGCGTCTGGACCCTGCTGAGCCCATTAGGTAAGTCAGGGCAGGGGTGGGTAGGCAGATCCGTCACCACTGGGTCCCTCTCACTGCCACATGGTATAGGAGGCATTCCACATCAGACGCTCAAAAGATTGGGCAGAGACCAAGAGAACCCTTTGCCAGGCCAGCCCCACTTTGCCCTTTGGGAGTTTCTGTCTTCAAAGAGACTTCTCCTAAGGGGACAGAGGCCTGATAGGACCTATACTGAGAAGTTGCCCAGTGTTGTCCTCCCACACATGAGCCACCGTGTAGTTACACTTCCCATTAAATGTTGAAGGGTCCCAGATGGTCCTGCTTGAGCCTCTGACAGGGGGAAAGAGGGCCCTTTCAGGCCAGAGCAGAACCACTAGGTCTTAGATGTCAGGATTCAGCCCAGGAAGGTCAGGTCAGCACTGCTGTAAGTGGAGGCTGAGCTCGAGGCCTGGCCACTGCCGCTTAGTAACAAACACGTCTGCTCCGTCCTGTGTGACCACGTGATGGTCGCATCAACTCTGGGCTCCTTTGCAGAGCTGCGGATGCTTTGTCCTGGTCTGCATTCTCCCTTCACGTGGGAGACTCCCAGCACGTGGTAGCAAGATGGCCGCCTGGGGTTCAGGGCTTCTCTGAGGGCTGGGGGTAGACTAGAGTATGGTGTCTGCCCAGTGGGGGAGCCTGTGTTCTCAGCTTGGAGGGCATATGGTCTGGATGTTCCTACCTAAGATGGGTGCTCCTGTCCCAGACCTGTTTGGGATCTCCACGCTGACACTTGTTGGCCTCAGGTGGGGTGTCAGGAGGGTCAGAAGTGCTTGGAGAAGTACAAAAAAGGCCACCGGGGTGCAGTTTCTCTGGCCAGTGACTTAGGGATGCCCCGGATTCCTCGTGGGCATCTCTGGATCTCTGGACCTGCCATATAGTAAACGTTGGATCATTTGCACTGAATTAACTTAAGTCAGATGGAGAAGCAAGGAGCTAGGAAGAACCAAATGCTGATGCTTCCGACAGATGTGTGTGGTTAGGAGAACTCTGCCGGGGACCAATGTCTCATCCACCTGCTGGCCCCTATATCCCCTCGCCAGCCTCCATGAGCTGGAGTGGTGCCAAGAGGGAGATTGGAGCCAGACGGCATGCTGGCTAATGCCCTTTACTTCTGAACCCTCTTACCACACCGAGCGCCATGCAGCCCACAGCAGCTTCCATTACTCCCCACGGGCGGCCCCTGATGTGGCAAGGACCAAGTCAAGGACAAGGCCGGTGGTGCTGGTGCAGCTGACTCCAGGTTTTTAGCTTCTCTGGCCCAGTGGTGGGGTTCTCAGGGCAGGTTCTGTTTTTGTGGGAATAGCCCCCTCATCAGAGAACGAGCGTTTCCCAGGATTAGGTCAGTTCTCAGGGAACCGCCTGGGGTCGTGGCCTTGGGAGACCTGGTTTCTTGACCTGCTGTCCATCAACTACGTGACATGGGAGAAAACTCTCTTTGCCCTCTGGACCTGCTGGATGAGGGGCCAGGTCCCCGCGGGCTCGCCCACCTCTCCCCGCTGTTGATCCTTCTGGATATGAGTCCCTGTGCTCACTGGATTATCTGGCTGGACTCTTCTGCGTTTGCCTGCCTTCCTCTGCAGCCCTTTGCTTTCCAAGTGGCTTCTCTGGCATCCCTCTCAGCAGTCAGAGGCGGGGAAGGTGGGGGTGGGGGCCCAAGGAAGAAGACGAAGTTGAGGGTGTGTTAGTTTGTTGGGGCTGCTGCAGCAAAGTGCCGCACACGGAGCAGCTTATCAACAGAAACACGTGGTCTCGCGGCTCTGGAGGCTAGAAGTCCAGAATCAAGGTGTTGGCAGGGTTGTTTCCTTCTGAGGGTGCTGCCGGCCTCTCGCCCTGGCTTGCTTTCTTTTTTCTTTTTTTCTTTTTTTTAAAGAATTAGTTATTTTAGAGAGCATGCAGGAGTGCGGGGGAGGGGCATAGGGCGAGAGAGAAGGGAAGTGGGTTCCCTGATGAGCGGGGAGCCTGATGCAGGACTTGATCTCAGGACCCTGAGATCATAACCTGAGCTGAAACCAAGAGTCGGATGCTTAGCCAACTGAGGTAGCCTGGTACCCCTCTCCTTTGCTTTCCGATGACCATCTTCTCTGTGTCTCTTCCCATTATGGGCTCTCTGTACAGGTCTGTCTCTTCTGGCTCGGCGTTTCCTTTTTCATAAGGACACTAATCACATGGGATTGGGGTCCACCCTAATGAGCTCATTTTAACTTGATTACCTCTCTAGAGACGCTCTCCCCAAATAAGGTCACAATCCGAGGTACTGGGGGTTAGGACCCCAATATATTATTTTAGGAGGCGTACAGAGGGAAGTAAAGGGAGAGGGCCCAATCTCAAGAAATGGATGTACTGTTAATGGGTGCTGCTTCAGTCCTCCTTCTCTGCCTGGTCAGCGGCCCACTGCCTGGGCTCCCAACAGTGGAGTCCCAAGAGAGCCACGCTGGGCAGGGCCTGTGGGAGAGGCCAGTGGAGGATCCCCAGGCCCTCAGAACAGTGGGCTTCTGAGCGAGTCCCGGGCGCCCGCAGAAGGCATGCTGACAAGTAAATTAGCCTGTCTGTGAAGTCTAGAGATTTAAAATCAAAAGGCAAAACCCTGGAGCATGTTCTTGTTTTAGGTAATGCATTGGCCCTCGTAAAGAGGAAAAACAATGGGGAGAAAAGAGCGTGGGGTTCTGCACGGCCAGGACAGATGAATGGGCCGGTGGTCACTCCTCCCTCTCCCATAACTTCCTCTTTCCCTTCCAAATGCACAGGACTCCCATCATAGCTGGGGGGCTCTTCGTGATGGACAAATCCTGGTTCGATTACTTGGGGAAGTATGATACGGACATGGACATCTGGGGTGGAGAGAATTTTGGTGAGTCACTGTCTCTGCGTCCTGGGCCACATGCACCCGGGATGAGGGCCCGGGAAGGGGGCAGTAGGTCACTCCTTGGGGGCAAGGCCAGGTGGAGCACGAGAGGAGTAGTTGCTGGGAGACTGGAGGTAACAGGGCATTTCTCCATGGGGAAAGCCTCCCCTAGGAAGACCATCAGGAGCGAGTTGACAGCAAAAGCCAGTAAGACTAAGGAGCCCATGTTCTAGTCCCCACCCCACCCAGGGGCCTGCTGGCTGGGAGCTAGAAAAGGAAACGAACATGGCTGGGCCCGGATGGGGTTTTGAGTTTGACAGATCCAGCTCCACGGATTTTCACAAAAGCCCCTAGAAGCACCCCCGTGTCACACTTTCACACTCAAGGCAACTATAGGGTCGCTCAGTGTTATGAGCTCCACGGATGGGTCCCGGACTGCTCTCTCCTAGGGCTGCAGAATGCAACTCGACGCAACTGCGGCCAGACGTGTTTGCAGTTTGGGGACCTGTGACCCCTTCCACCCTCACCCCTTTCTCTCTCACTAAAAGATAAGGGCCAGATGCTCCCAGGCTTCCGTAGCAACTACCCCCAGACCCTCGTCATTAACCCGCTCTGAGTACTGTGTGCACAGAGCAACCAGCAGATGTTTACCAAATGTCACAGGGGTCGCTGTCGATCCTCTTCATCCCCAGCCTCCTTCTACCTCCAAATAAATCCCCAAGTTCCGTGCTCCCAGCTCAAGCCTGCCTCGGAGAGGGATTCAGCTCTGTTTTGTTCCCAGCTGTCTCCGGTGCTTCAAATAGTGCCCCCATGAAGGAGGCTTCCGTAACTACTTGTTAAATGAAGCACCGGAGAAGAGCAAGAGGCTGGCATGTCACTGGGGAGCATTCGGCACGGGCCCCCGAGCAGTGGTGCGGCCCCGAGAATGGATGATCCGTGGGGCTCGTCCGGGCATTCAGCAGTAATTCCATGCATTGTCCTCTGCCGTTGTTTTCTCCTGTCTCTGCCTCCAGAGTGTTTTATGGCTTTCTTCCTCAGTCGCTAAGAGTTATTTTCCAGAAATTTATGGCTGCTGGCCTGACCCACAGCATCTGTTCTCCCAAAATGGGCAGTGTAGAGAAATCCATCAGATAAGTACAGCTCTTGCCATTCGGGGGCTGGATTGGAAGCTCAGCAAACAAGCAGAAAACCCCAAACCCCCAAACCAAACTGATTCTCCTTGCTGGCACCCAGTCCTGGAACAGAACAGGGAAATCTGGTACAGGTTTGAGATCAGCACTGCCTACACGGGCCCAGGAGAACTTGGGACCAGGTAGGGCCTTGTCATTCCCAGTGGGGACGGGATCACTCTCTTTCTGGGCAGAGCCAGCGGGACATCCTGCTGCTCACGATGCCTCTCGTGATCCGTAGTGATGTGCTCTGGCCTTTCCTCCCATCATCAAGTGAATCCTTTCTGCAGTCCTTTGGATAGACAGAAGTCATCTCGTCTCTATTCTAACGCCGTTTATGACAATTGCGTTCACTGCTTCACAGTTGGGCTCATTCTGTTGCTGCGAATTTTGGGGTTGAATTGTTAGAAATTTCTAGGTTGAAGCCCATCTCGCTCTAGCCTCTGTCTGTCGGGGCTTATGCTGCCCCCCCACCCCCTGTCACCCTTACAAAGGGAGTGTGATCCTTCCTCCATGGGGCAGTCACGTTGGGATTCAGGCAGCACGTTATTTTTAATGATCGCACATTCTGGTCCAACCTACCAGTCCCTGCTGTTTATGGCTGTGTTGACATGCATCTGCTCCTACCAAGCGGCAGTCTCAGCTAGTTGCTACCCAGTCGTTGGACACTCACCAGTGCTGATTTGAATGGGGAAGGAGAGAGGGGCTTCTGAGGAGGTGTGGGAGAGGCATTTTACAGTCCGTTGCAAAATTTTTTAAACCACAAAAAAGCACTGCAGACAGCTATCCCAGGAGACACTGTTTTCTCCGCTCCCGACATTCTCTTGTGTTATAGTCAGCTCCCAGCACTTTGAAAGCCGTTTCTGGATTTTTTTTTTAGCATTTTATATGCCAGAAGATGCAGTGCTTGTCCGATGGTACATAGATCATGTGGGGCAGTCCAGCTCTGCAGGCGAGCATAGGTAGGAACCTGAGGGCATGAAGGTGGGGATTTCGAAGAGCCCATCAGGATGGGGTGATGATCAGGGGTTTGGTGGGATTGGGGAGCACTGCTTCACTTTCAGAGGAGAGATGATACTAAGGGAAGGAATTCTTGCTCCAGGGGGTGGGAGGGGGCCCTCCCCACCGCCCAGCTCACCATGTCCTGAGAGCCACATCCCCAGCGTTGTTCACATTCACCCCTCTCTCCATCCCCAGGACTACTCCGCTCCCCTCAAAGCCAGCCTCCCAATGGGCCAGAGAGCACTGTCTGAAATGCAGGTTCTCTCCCACTTCCCAGACCAGGCAGACACATGGTTGCTTCTTGTCCTATTCCATAGGGAGTATGGGAAGTTAAGAACACCAGCTTGGCATCTGCAGTTGTATGGTCCTGGGTGACCATGGTGGGCCAGTGGCTAGTCCTTGTTCAGCAGCTGGGGGGCTGGATGCAGCGTGATTGCCCCAGATGGCATGAAGTACAGTGTTGTAGACAAATAAGAGGATCTCTACTCAAGTCCATGAGTTCATGGAAAAATAATAACAGAGCTTTCAGGCCCAGGAGGTCCTGAGAACTTAAAGATCATTAAAAGGAAGGGTCTCTGTTGGTGCAATTATATGTGTGGACTTAGGGATAACAGTAGCCACCCAAGGGCCCACCGCTGCCCACTCCACTTCCCCTGTCCTGAGTTGGTTGAAGGTACAGTGGTCCTGCTGCTGTGGGTACAATGTGTGTTGGTACACAGTATGTGTGGCTCCGTGCAAGCTAGAATCATCGCATTCCGCAGAGCCTGTGTCCCAAGCTCCCTCCACCTTTGTTCAGAAACCAGACTATACAATGAACTTGGAACCTGGGTGGGTCTGGCTGAGCAATAGTGTATGAATAGCTGTGGCTTGGTTTCTGGGGAGAGAGCATCCCCTCTCCCTTCCAGCAGTCGTGGGCTTGGCAGGTAGACACTGGGCTGGTGGGGGGCGGGGGTGGGGGGCCCATGGAGCCCTGGTAGGACTACCAGTGGGTTGGTGGGGACACAGGAAGAAAGAAGTGAGGATGGAAGGCGGGGAGGGCAGTTTGCCCTCAAGTAGGAGTCTGACGTCTAAAGAAAATAAGATAGCGGTGCCCCCAATGAGGGTGGAGTAATTACCCGTCTCCCTGCCTGGAATTCAAAGTGGATTAGGGCCTGCGTGATATTCATCCCCAGGGAGATTGTGCTGGCGCTGACTCAGCGAGAACCCCTTACAGATTCCCTACATCGTCTTTTTGCTCCGTCCCCCTCACTTAAGAAAGTGATGACTTGGCAGGGAGCCGCAGATGTGGAAAGCGCAGGGTCCGGGCGGTGCCTGGAAGGCCGGCTGCCCCACACCTCCCTGCGCCGCACTTCTGATGCGTGAGCCCCCGCTGCACGGCGCCTCTGGATTACGAGACTTTCCCAGGAGTCAGCACATCCCTGCGAGGACAGTTATCCTGACGTCAGTGGTGTAGACGAGGGCAGGGCGACTCCGTGCCTGGGTGTTAAATATGCCACACGATGTACCTGTGAACCATCACGGTAATCAGCACACTCCCGGCTGCACCCCCAGACCGCCCAGGTCAGGCCCGGGCCTCTGATCACCCCAGTTACAACACTCAGGACCCTGCAGCACAGAAGCTGTGACCTCATCTCAGGCTGCAGGAGCCTTGGGGAGGCATCAGCTGTACTAAATGGGTGCGAAGGCGGACGTTTGTCAGGATTGGATGGAGGTGCAGGGTGGTGGCTGGTCATAGAGGAGCCGCTCTTGTCGGCCACTGAAAGACCTGAAGTCCGTGGCTTTGCGCCCGGAGGGGCGTTGGCTGAAGGAGGCTGTTGAGTGCTGAGGGCAGGATGAGGGCGGAGTTCTGGAGTGGGGAGATGTGCGTCAGCCCCCAGGCACCCGCTGGCAGGGGTCAGGTCAGAACCGCCTCTGCATCATCAAATAAGGACGTCCTCGACCATGAGCAGGGTTGTTAGGATGACTAATAAGCTACCACCTGAGCGAGGAGGGCCGAACAGAGTGCAGCCCAGGGGTAGAAGAAGAGGTCATTTTCCTCCCATGGCTCATGTTTGCAGAATTGAGATACGTGGTGGTTTTTAGCTAAAGCACCAGACGCAGGGAAATGAGGAGGAGGAGGGCTGGTTTGACAGGTGGGGGAGAGGAGGCAGGCTGCAGTGAGCTGTGGATGGGTGGCCGGGGGCAGAAGATGCACCCCCATCTGCTGGTGTCCAGCATTCCTCGGCAGAGCATCACATGGCCCCTGGAACCCGGTGCTGGAGCTGGGACAGAGCTGGGGCTGGGGGGGGATGAAGGGGAGTCCTCAGCATCAAGTGAACCTTGGGGTCAGCTGAAGAAACAGTGTCAGGGAGACCCTGTAAAGACAGAGCCTTGGGGTGGAAGACTGCCAGGAGACCAGAAGGAAGGTGAAGGACCAGGGTCAGATGCCTCCTTTCCAAGGTGGGGACCTGTGACAGAAGGCGGGACTCGGAGATGCAGAGGGAAGCACAGAGAAAGAAACAGGTTGCTGGAGTAGGAGGGGATAGGGGAGGGAACTGGGGCATAGTTTGGAGGAATTCGCTTTGCAAATGAGGAGGGACATATGTCTTATTTGAATACATGGAAAGGAAGAGACCATAGCCAAAACGTATGCGTATTTTGGGAAGAGGGCTGGCACAAAATTTGTAGGTTATATCTAGTAAACCAGATCTCCGTCTCTAGTTTTGAAAGATGAGATGGTTTTCCTTTTTGGGAACTGGAGCAGACCGTATTTTGAGATCCTGCGGAGGAAATGATTGGAGCACAGTAGATTTTTGGAGCACACTGTTAAGGAAGAAGTCCTGAGACTAAGGTCACACATGCACTAAGAATCCCACGGGCTGACCCCTGTGGCCAGCCCCTCAGTGCACTCACTGCGAGGTGGAGCAACGGATGGTGGCAGTCAGTTGAGCTCACTCATTGCTCCGTGTGCCCCGGACACATGATCCCAACAGTGTCCCAGCCAAACGCCACACTGCTGTGTATCGGGGGCTTGATGGAATGTCAAAATCTCGAATGTTAGGTCCACAAATTTCAAGTGACTTCGGTGGCCGAAGAAGGAAGCTGGAAGCGGGCACAGGAGGGCAGTGCTAATGGGGTCCGTATTCCAGAGTCTGGCTTCAGGGGTGTCTGATCATAGCTGTGGCTCATCTTTCCATCCTACTTAAGTGTTCCCCATATTCTCAGAATTCTGTTTCATTTGACGTGGACAGCAATCCTGTGGCATATAGCCTCAGTGAGGTGAAGCAAGTGTCCCCAGGGACACGGCCCCGGGGGCTGTTGCAGACTCAGGGCTGCGGACCCCAAAGCCAAGCTCCTCCTTCCCTCATTCTTGCCATCATTTGGAAGCAGTCTTGAAAAGTCCTTTCTTTATCCTAGCACACACATTGTCCCCACCCTGTCCCCGAGCTTCCTGGGAATGAGCCCCTTTGGGGCAGCACATGGGCACGCAGAAGGGCAGGTGTAGAGAAGGTGGCAGCAGCGGGGTTGGTGTCCAGGGAGCCTTGCCTACAGCTCAAGGACACGGGGCCGGAGGCAGTAGGGGATAGGGAAAGTCTGGCTGAAGACAGCTGAGTGAGAGCAGGTGAGGATCGCGATGAAGACATGGTGTCTGGGCACCTGCTTGGAGAGCTGGAAAGGAAGGAGACCGAGAGCCAGAAGTGGAGGGACAGAAAGAGGACCCAGGTGAAGGAACCCAGGGAGGTGAGGCCCGGCGTGCTGGAGGGTGCAGTGCATGTATGTGGTAGGAAGGCACCAGAATACTCACATCCTCCTCCCCTGCTCCTGGACCCCAGCCTGCTTCCACATGCCGCCCCCCCATCTCCACCAGCAGGAACAGTTACCCAGAGGCAAGGATTTCCCCTGGGCCAGCCTGCCCTCGTATTTGAGTTTGACTACAGAAGCACGAACCAGGCAGGAATTCCCAAATGGGAAGCTTGACATTTCCCACCAGGGGCATACCCCGCGGGGTGCATGGGGTGCAGTCAATAAGGAGGTGCACTGCCCATCGAGAAGTAAAAGCCATCACAACACTGCCTAACAGTCATTCAGCCAGTTCTAAACATCAGCAGTGACAAGATACTCCCCTCCACCACCTTGGTATGCCGCTGCTTCCTTCTGGGGCAGAAGCACTGCTGCAAGGCGACTAGGACACCGCCCCAGGGGAGAGCTGCACACCCCAGCCTAATCCCGGCTGCCTCTGCAGACTCTGCTCCTCCTGCAGCTGCAGCAGCCAACCAGGGGGGAGAAGTGGGCATGTGTGCAAAATCCCCGCCCTGGGGAGCGACCCCAGCAACAGCTTAGAGGCTTCCAGCATTTTCTGTACCTGCTCTCCGTTACTGCCCAGACGTCTCCTCCCGAGCTCCAATTCAGGTGCCCTTACAGAGTGGCAGAATTGTGGTCCGGGTGTTGGGAGGTGCTCTGCTGGACGCCTTGTCCAGGTGCTTGCTGGGAATCCTGCCCATGGGTGTTGCTAGCCGGTCAGGGTGTGGACCTCACCACCTCCATGACAGCCCCTTCTACCTGTGCCTTGACTTTTGGGAAATTCTTTATTCTTGAATGGAAAATTCTTTCTCCTCGGTCCTGACTTTAGCCCTCCGGGGTCATACAAGCACGTCTAATCCATCTGCCATGTGTCCGGAAGCAGCAGTCTGGGTTGCCCCAAGGCTGTAGCAGGGCCCTGCGCCAGGCTGGTCCCCAAATGTGGCCCCCATGAATGTGCTCCTCCAAGCCAGCCCCCATTTCTTTCCATATGAACTCGCATCACCCTCCCAGCTGTGAGTTATCATCAGCCCCATTTGCAGAAGGGGAAACTGAGGTTCCCCAGCCAGCAGAGCACACAGTCTGACTTCACCCCACCCCCAGCCCTGGGCTGGATGCAGCAGAAGTGGGGGGGAAGGCCCTGACCACTTCCTTGGACCTGGTGCCCCGATGCTGCCATCCTGTGTCCCTGCCCCCCTCCGGAGGGCACAAGCCATGCTGAGGGGGCACGACTCTCCTGCAGAGATCTCCTTCAGAGTGTGGATGTGCGGCGGCAGCCTTGAGATCGTCCCCTGCAGCCGAGTGGGCCATGTCTTCCGCAAGAAACACCCCTATGTTTTCCCAGATGGAAACGCCAACACGTATATAAAGTAAGTTCGAGTCCCAGGGGCTCTGAGGGGGCAACAGAAAGCCGAGCGCTTTCCTGGTGATGGGTTGTGGCTGTCCCTGGTTCTCTTGTAGGTTGCCTGGGTGTTCTGGGTGCTCAGGAGCCACAGTCATGCTCCCTGGGACTCTGCCTAAGCAGGGGAGGTCTGACTGGCCCGCCCAGCATTAGGAGGAGGCCTGACGCTCTTCTCCACCACTGACGTCCCCGCAGCTTGACAAGGCCCACAAGACACTGGGCAGCACTGTCCTGCAGGGCTCTGGGTGTTTGGGGTGGTTTGGGGTGGGGGAAGAAGATGCTGTTTTTGCCTCCGAGTTCTAGAAGATCCAGTGCTCCCACTTTCAGGCTAGGTCACCAGGGGAAAGGTCGTTGGAAGGATCTGTGGATGGGGATGCACAAACGGCCACAGTTCACATGCCTGCCCCAGGCCCTGCAGGTGCATAGCCAGGGTCCAGGCTAAGGCCAGCCCTGCGACCCTGGGTTCCTTCCCTAGGGTGTTTGCACCTCCTGCTGGATGAAGGATGAAGATCCCGGGGTCTCAGTGAGCTGGGGGTGCCCACTTGCTTATTCCTGCTCCGTCCCTTCATACACCTTCTCCTGTGATTTCTTCTCCTTCAGTCTTCTCTTCTGTTTTAGAAACATTTCATGTATATCCCTCTTTCCTCCAGCTTCTTCTCACCTTTTCCCTTATCACCTTGTTGCTCATCATCTGACAGCTTCACTTATCCATTTATCCTCCTTTTCCCTTTTTTCTTTTCTGTCTGGTCCATTTGGGGGGGAAAGAGGAGCTAAGCATTTCTTCATCTGGGATGTTGTTTTCCTCATCTGTGTTCTTCCGTCCTCGGTTTTCACACGTATGAGCAGGTATGGGTCACATCCTGACACGAGCGTCCCGGGGCTGGCATGACCCTGAGCAGGGGAAAAGTTAACACCTTTTGCAGAAACTGGGTGGGCAAGATTGGTGCTGTGAGAAACCCAGCGGGCACCAACGGCAGGGCTGCCTTGACCCTCAGGTTTCCAGGAGGAAAAGGTGAGCAGGGGACACCTGGTGTAGGAAAGTGATGGGGCAGCAGTCCTGGGCTCCAGAACATTCACTGTCCTTGAGTCTGGGCCTTGGCCAGCGGGTCAGTCAGTGGTTTTGAAAGGCGGTACAAGTGTCTCCTGAGCAGCGTCCAGGTTGCTGATGGTTAGGCCGGGGCAAGGAACCAGCAAGGTGCTGGTAACTGCCTTCCCCGCACCAAGAACGGGCTGCACGTCGGGTCCACCGGCTTGGAATCCCTCTGCTTCAGACGGAACCAGAAGTCTGCGGGCGCATGCCCTGTTTAGTGAGGCCCCAAGTTCGCTGACATGGGCCCTGGCGAGGCTTGCTCCCACACTACCCCCGGCACCTGTTTTCTGATGACCTCTCTCCTGCCCTGGGGCGCTTCCTGGTTTCGCTGCCTCCCTGCCTGCCGAATGGTGACATACGTCCTCCATGTCAGTCTTTCTCGTTTTCTGTGACCTTTGAGGTCAGCGCCAGAGCAAACATCTGATGGGAAGGACCAGCGTGCTGGCAAAATCAAGCTGACAACCGGCTTGATTGCTTGATTCTTGACACCTGCGCCATGGTCTGGGCCGCTGTGCGTGATTGGCTGTCCTGCCCAGAGCTGGGACCCCAGCACTTGCCCTGCATAAAGGGGGAGCACCTGGAGTAGGAGTTTGTGGGCAGCAGGAGAGGTGGCCACCGCAGGCCCTGCCTCTCTCCTCTCGGTCCCCACACGTGGGGATGTGTGGGCTCTCCTCTCACGCCCCCCCCCTTTTTTTTGAGCCACGTAAGTTCCATTTCTGGCACAGTTTTTCTGGTGTGTACCTTTTGGGGAAAAGTTTGTCCTTACTACTAAAGTTCTGTGTCTTGGAGTAAAAAGGCCCTTTTGGAGATTGGGTGGGACTTGGCTGGGCTCAGCACCCGTGGAAGAATGCTGTTACTGGATCGTGGGGGCCCCCAGCTGGGTAGTGCTGCCTGCGTGTGCATGTTAACCGCCCTGGGACACCCCCTGTCTCCCCAGGAACACCAAGCGGACAGCTGAGGTGTGGATGGACGAATACAAGCAGTACTATTATGCTGCTCGGCCGTTTGCTCTGGAGAGGCCCTTTGGGAAGTAAGTGTCCCTTCCCGCCTGCTTTGTGCAGAGGGTAAAGAGGAGCTCCAGCTCCTCACAGCCTGTCCGCTTAGCTGGTCGCTCAGGCTGTGGCCGCTGTCCTTTATATCCCTTCTTGCTCCTGCCCTGTCCTGGGTGTGCGGGGCTTTCTGCAGCTCTTGCAAAATGACAGCCTGGCAACCTGGACCACTGCCCTAGGCGGTGAGCTGTGCCTTGCACCACGGAGCAAGTGTTTCTAGCTTTTTACAGAAAGGTGGGGTGCGGGACACGACGGCCTTAGCACCTCCAGAGCTCCTCCTCCTAGTTCTGAGTCACCCAAGCCCAAACCACCCTCCTTCCTCGGAGGAGCAGTATCCTACAGGTGTCCCCTAGAGCCCTGCTCCAGCTTCGTCGGGGTAGACGAGGACAGGGAAGGAATTCTGTGCCAGGTGCCATAAAGGCTGTCCTGGGAGTGCTCCTCAAACTCTGAGAAATGGGCTTAATTGCCTCTATTTTACAGGACAGGAGACAGGCTTCTGCAGGTTAAGGTACTTGCCCTTATCACATCACGGTACCAGGGGCATGAGGCTCAAACCACACCTGTCTGATCCCAAAACCATATGTTGCATTCTCCAACTCAGAGCTGATAAGAGAAAAATGGAAACTTCATCTGTGTTAGCATCTGATTGTTTTGAGGAGCAACCAATGGCTTTTTGTCATGCTAATGTCCCTCAGTCAAACTAAGGCTTGTGAGCAGATGGGTTTCTGCAGCCTGCCCCTGATAGGTGGGGCCGGTCCCTGCTCAGGAGGATAAAATTAGACTCAGCCAAAATGGCCTGCGTCTCTGAAATTATAAACCTGTGCTGTCCCCCCCCAGTTCAATCACTCAGAACCTCACAAGGCTTTTGTCCTGAGTCCTCATCAAACTCCTGGCCCACTGACCATGGCCATGCACCCCTCTTTCTTCACCTCCCTCCCTCCCCAGCTTGGGTTCTGCTCTCTTGCTTAGAGAGAGAGCTTAAAAGGCCTCGTCCTCAGATCTTTCGCCCTGTCGTGCATCTGTCAGCACCTCAGGCAAAGTTTTCTCAACCCTGGATGAACCCGACTTTGTGCCTCTCCCTCCCCTGTGCACAGGCTGCTGAAGGTTCTGGTAAGCATCAGCCAGTGTTGCCAACACACCATGGCCATCAGTCTCAGGCAGGCCCTTAGTAGGCCTGTCAGTCCTGCTGCCTTTCCTGGCCATCGTTCCCCTGTCCCCATTTAAACCTCTCCTGTCTCCCTACCTCCCGAGTCCACCTGTCACTCAAGGCAGATGACACCTTCTGTTTTATAGCTGAAATAGATGCCATCGACTTCCCAAGACAAACCGACCTGGCAACTTCGCTCTCTCTGCCCCACTCTTTCTCCAAAGACAGGTGCCCCCTGCCGTGTTAGACCAGCCCTCCACCTGTACTCGGGATCCACCTTTCATCTGCATTCATTCGTAAATCAACATTTATGGAGCTCCCTCGGCCCGGATTCATATCTCCTGCCTCCTGGCTCAGGCCTTGTTCTTTCCTCCCCCCACCTTCCCAAGTCAAACAGCCCCCAAGTCCCGGTGCTGCTGCCTCCTTCATGCACGCAGCACCCAGGTCTTTGCTAAACGCTGGACGTTCAGCTTAGAAAAAAATTGACGTCATTTCTCTGCTCACGCTGCCCCCTTCCTCTGGGGAGGAAGTGTGGTTAGCGCCAACTATGAAGTCCAGCGCGGGGTGGAAGGGGGTGAGGCTGGCCGAGCAGGGCCACCCGGGAAGGAAGGACAAGGTGCAAACGGAGCTGAGGAGGGTGGTGGCGGTGGCGCTAGAGAGAAATGGAGGGACTTGGCCTGTCCCTCCTCTCCATTCCGCCCCCCACCCCCCGCCTGAGAGCACCGTCAGCACCTGGCTGTCTGCAGTCCCCTCCCACTGCTCCCTGTCTCCAGCCTTGCTCTGCCAGACCCATTCGCCACCAGTGAGATGCTCTCAAAGTGCAGATGTCGCCACGTCACACTTTGCTCAGAACCCATCTGTTGCATCCCATCGCTTCAAAGTCCGACCTCCTCCACAGCGGCCCCCAAAACCCTCTGTGGTCTGGTTCTTCCTCTCTGCTCCTGCTCACTTCCCCTCTGCCATCCCCCGAGTACATTCGTTCGTGCGTGCACACGGCTCGGCCTCCCGCAGTGCCGCTCCCGCCACGGACAGTCTCCCCTCGCTCTTCCCCGGTCTGTGCCAGGGGGCCCCAACCCCACCCACTCTCTGGTTTGTCTAGATAGCCTCCACCTTTCCTTCCAGATACCAGCTTCCATGTGACCACCTTGGGGACGCTGACCTGACTAGCAAGGGAGACACCAGGTGGCCCTGCTCGGCCAGCTTCACCTCCTTCCACCCCGCGCTGGACTTCATAGTTAGCGCTAACCACATTTCCTCCCCAGAGGAAGGGGGCAGCGTGAGCAGAGAAATGATGTCAATTTTTTTCTAAGCTGAACGTTCAGCGTTTAGCAAGGGCACACCTCTGAGATGCTCCCGCAGCCCCCGCGTGCCCCCCCCCCCACGTCCACACAGGGCTGCGATGGCTTGTTTCATTACCTTCCTCTGTTGTTCAGAAGCTCGCCGTCCATCATTCCCCACATTGGGCACAATGCCTGGCACAGAGTAGGTGCTCAAAAAATATCTGATGAATAAAGGCATGACCAGGCCCCAGAATCAGATGATTCTTTTGAGATTGGGGTGGTCAGGAGTGGTATTTTGACTGCAGAATCCAAAGAGAGATTTGTGGGTAAATAGACTCAGAGCCCCAGTGGTGAATTATTAGCAACACACTGTGTGTTCATGTAGCCTTGTTTTTAATGAAAAGTAAAAACACCCCCAAATTCCATTTTCAAGTGAAAACACAAATCCTCTGTGTCGTTACCACACCATTGTGAGCTGTTGCTCCGTGTTTCCATAGCTCTGTCTGGAGCTCTAGAAATCTCCCGTGGCTAATTTCTCCAGCGCCCTCGGGAGAGACGTGGGCACAGCGTGCGCTTTTGTCCCTCAGCCTTGTCCCTGTCTCTGACCCTCGGCTGTGCTTTTGTCTTTGTGTCTCCCCCCTGCCCCGCGTCCCCCCAGCATCGAGAGCAGACTGGACCTGAGGAAGAATTTGCAGTGCCAGAGCTTCAAGTGGTACCTGGAGAACGTCTATCCAGAGCTCAGGTACCCGCTCTACCTTCTGAGCCTTTGCTGGCTTGTCAGGAGCGGTGCGAGGGATGGCAGTTCCCGGGGAGCAGCGTAGCGCAGCTGCTGGGGCTTGAGTCCCGGGCACGACCTGAGGCTGATGCTGTGGCCACGCCCGGCTCCATCTGCCATTGGTGGCTCCCGGGTCTCTCCTCGCTGCCTTGTTCCTGGTTGCAGCCCCCCACCCCTGGCGGAATGCCCCTGTCATCCTCAAAACCCTGTCTCCGCCTCTCCAGTGGCTGGTGTCACTCAGCCAAGGAGCAGCTGGTTCTCATCTCTCTGTAACTTTCCTCCAGAATCCCCAGCGATTCCTCCATCCAGAAGGGCAGTATCCGACAGAGGCAGAAGTGCCTAGAGTCTCAAAGGCAGAAAAACACAGACACCTACAACCTCAGGCTAAGCCCCTGTGTCAAGAACAAAGGCGAGGACGTAAAATCCCAGGTACGTAAGCGGCTGGGGACGTGAGAACATGTACGGGCCTCAGCCTACGCCCCCTGCTGTTGTAGGACACCCAGTGCCCAGTTATAGCCAGAGCCTACCAACAGAGCAGGAGAAGTATGATTTCCCCTCCCTCTGAGACCGGGGTCACTCCACTGGTTTCCAAATGGGTCTGGTTTCTCTGAAAGAGGGGCAGTTTAGCAGGCGATGTCGTGCCTTTAGGAAATCGCCATTAAATTAACAGGATTTAATGAGTACGTCCATGGCGTCCAGCCTGCTTGCAGGAAGTGGGGGCCGGGTCAGGCAGCTCAGGTGCAGCTGCTACCTGGAAAACGTGAAGGGCAGATGGAGAAAGGCATGCCTCTGGGTCATGCTGCTCCAGGGTGGCAAGCCTGCCCTGAGTCTCCCCGCGGCTCTAACCCGGACTTCCGGGTGGGCACATCCCATCCGGCAAAACCGTCACCGTTGTCCGCACCCACCACCCCCGCCCCATCCTGTCCTCAGCAGGCCTGCACTCCACCTCTGCTATCTCCTGCCTCGCCCAGGTCTGCAGGAAGCCTGGGAATCCGTGCTCACAAAGGTTGCCTCGTGCCTTAGTCCATTCATCAACGTAGCACGCCCACGTTCTGTGGGTCAGTGTTCTTCCCTCTGAGGATGGAACTCTTTTAAAGGTCACTGCAAATCCGCAGCCTGTCTCTCCCTCTGTCACACTTGCGTGCTGGATACGTTACAGCACATCCAGCTTGTGGCTTCCTCCTGGCTCCCTCCAGGCACTGCCTGATCCGGATTCTCCTGCATTCCTGTTCTTTCTGTCTCTTTTCTTTGCTGGCTCCCCTGCTCCACTTTCGTGTGCTCCTGGTGAGTATTCATGAAGGTTCTTAGGTCATTGTTCTTGTCTCTGGAAATGGTGTCTTGGAGATTTTATCCAAGCTTCCAGCTTTGGCCCCATCCTCTGTTTCATTGATGCACAAATTCTAGTTTTCTTCCCTCCCGGAACTCATCCATTTACTCCATAAACATCTCTGTTCTCTGCTAACTGCGAAGACACTGAGATGAATGGCTAGGTTGCAGGTCTCCATGGTCCCTCGAGGGATCTAATGCAAGAAGAAGCAAGTAAGCAGCTGTTCTGTTATAATCTCTGTCCTGGATGGAGTTCAGTCCAGGCTGCTCTAGAAGCACCGAGGGGCGGTATGTGCCGTATGCGTGATGAGAGTCAGGGACGTCTTGCCAGAGGACTCGAAAATGAGCTGCATCCTGAGAGAGGAGTAGAAATAGGCCATGTGAGGAAGGGGAGAAGGAGCAGCCCAGGAAGCAGAGCACGCAGGAAGGCCTGGGCTGTGGCTGGGTACCAGCATGAGCCCACAGCCGCCCCAGAGTCGTCTATGGTTCTAGTAGACAGAGGGCTACAAGCAGCTACCAGGCCCACAGCCACGTCCCTGTCCCACTCCTTCTCTCCGTGTCACTGCCCTCTCCCAGGCTCCACGGCTCCAATCCCAACCGTCTGCCCTGGCTCCGCCTTCTCCTGACCCCCATTTCTGCAAGTCCCTGTGCCTTCTCCCCTCAAATAGCTCTTCTTGGACCCTGCCTTCTCTCCTCCATGCCCCATCAGCCTTCCTCAGCTGTGGCACCGTTGATGTCTTGCGCTACATGGTTCTCTGTGTGGGGGGCTGTCCTGTGCTCCAAGGCCTGCCCAGCAGCATCCCCAGCCTCTGGCGCCAGGAGCACCCCACACAAGCCAGTCGTGACAATGGAGCTGTCTCCAGGCTGTCCCGAACACCCCTGGGGCATAAAACCACCCAGATTGGGAACCACTGTGTTAGGTTAGAGCCACAGCCTCCAATCCCTGCCCCCTCGTCCCCCCGCCGACATGTCACCATCAGACCATTGTTCTCCACCTCAATACAGCCTTTGATGCTCCCTGCTGCCTGCCGCGGAAACCCGCACCCACAGCCGGGGGTTTGAGGCATCGCAACACCAGCCTCCAACTCGCAGGGACCTGTCCCAGACCCATCTCTCTGCTCCAGCAGGACACGGAAAGGGCTGCCTGAGTTAGACAGGAAAAGGGAAAGCAAGCAGAAGTGTCGATTTTGCTTTAGGTACAGCAGCCGGGCTGGGAATGACATAGTTTGCTCAAGCGGCATTTTGTAAAATGATGTGAATAGGTGAGGCGCAGCCCTCCCTTCTGAATCTGCGTGTGGGTGCTGTTCGTAGGGGATCCCAATGGCCAGAATGTTGTCACCCCCCCTTTCCGTGGGACAGGAGCTTGCTCGATCTGTCTTCAGTGAAGCAGCGGCTTTTCTGGTACTTAATGTCTTTGGCTGCATAAGGAAGTGGGAGGAGGGGAGCCATAGGATCTCTGGGTCTTGAGGAGGGGCTCTCCAATCTCTTAAAGATTGCCAGGCCTTTATTTGACTGGAGAGTTATAGTACCTATTCCAGCTGACCTTCCAATGGCACAAGAAAGGGGTGGAAAAGCAGTCATCTGTGGGAAACTAACGGTGATCATAGTTAACAGTCTTCAAGTGAGCGAAGAGTTCTTTCTAGAAGCTAGTGCCAAGCTATCACTCCTTCTCGCTTTGGAGAGAACAGTTGGTTTGTGTAGCAGCAGGGTGAATTCGGGGAAAATGGAGGAAGACTCTGAGATTGATGTTCCACCTGCTTCCACAGAGGACAGTGAGAGCCCGCAGTGCTCCCGGCCCCAGGCTGCGTGCAAGGGACAGGGCGGGGCTGGGCTGGATTAGGCTCAGCCCCCTTCTAGAGTGGTCCATGGCCAACAGCAGAAAACGTCCAAGTTTTCTGAAGGTGTAAACCCACTTTAGACAGATAGAAATCTACATAACTATTGCAGCTGGAATAATCCCCAAGTGTGCGTGCGTGTGTGTGCGTGCATGTGTGTGTGTGGGGGCCATACACCCTTGAAGGACTGACCTATATTACCTTTCTCGTCCTTTCGGTAGCTTTCCCTCCTTCCTGCGTAAGAAAGACAGTCCTGTCCTTCTGCTCGCCAACCCTTTCTGCTAATACGTTAGGGCATCCTATCCATCCTAGGGCACCCTGGATGCCCTGCTGACCCTCTGACCCTGCTCTGCTCTTTCGCCTCTCCTACATTTCATTTCTCCTCTTGCGCTGCCTCTTGGCCTGTCCAGACAGGGTCACGTCTGCCCCTCCCGCCCCTTCCCGTGACTCATTCCGCCCTCTCTCCAGCCACCTCCTCTTCTGCCTGGGGGAGGCCGTATCAAGGAAGGGACGCAAGAGCCCTGTTGAGGAGGTATTACTATTATCCTCATTTTACAGATGAAACCAGGGCCTGGAGAGATTATCCAAGGTCCTAGACAGTAGGCCCCTCCTCGACATGGATAGGAACTGGGGAAGAGTGTGAATGGAGGCCCACATTCTGGGCTCCACACCAGAGCCGGGGGCGCAGACAGCATGGCTTCCAGCCTGGGCCTGCTCCCCTTTAGTTCCTGCCCTGGCTCTGTTCCGCCCCCCCACTCCCAGCTTGTACATCCACCTCGGTCACTACCCTCTAAACATTCCCCTTTGGGCCCAGCTGTGTGCAGTAGAGACTCAGTCTACCCTTGGGAGGACTGACCCAGGGTAAGATCTACACAGATCCTGAAATCAGGTTCAGGCCATTTGGGTGGAGGATCCCAGGGTTCCAGATATCTGGAGTAAAAGAAAACCAGCGGGTTCGAGCCAAGAGTTCAGATTTGTGCTTCCAGCTGGTCACACATTCTCCAGCAGTGTATCCCCCAGCACATGGGTGCCCTCATTGTTGAAAGGAGACAATCAGAGCATGGTTGTCCTCTGCCTTGGATGAGGGCTCACATCTCTGCCCCACCCCCGGCCCATCTATCCTTCCCCCCTGCCTGCCTTCTCTTTCTTGGCCAGCTTGTCAACCTTGGGAACAAAATGTTTAATCTTGGTGTGTACTGAAGATGTCAGCAGGTTGATGCCTTGGGTGAAGTACAAGAGAAATACATCATCTGTTTGCAAACATGCAAAGCCCAAGAAGCCTCCAGGTTAATGAGTTTCCTCTTAGCTTTATTGGATTCTCTAGAAAAATACTTGTGTGAAAGATGGAAGGAAGACAGAGGCACTAATCACACTGCTGTCCCAATTTAAAGAAAGGGAGAAACACAGAAAAATTTTTCAGTGTGTCCATCTACCTGTGTTCCGGGCAGTTTGGGCCACTGGCTTGTGAAGGATGCACGTACACAGCTGGACACTCAGGTGGGCGAGAGAAGGTGAGCGCTCGTCCCCACACCTGCGCTGCCCTTGGCAGGTGGGCCAGGACTCCAGGGCTCGGCAACAGGCCCCAACAACAAATGTCCTGGGTGTAGGTTTTTAATCACATGCATATGAAGTGTATCCCGACAGCTTGGGGTGAAGTGACAGGGGGGACCGGAAATAAAAGACCCCAACAGTGAGTCCAGTGAAGATCCCAGTCAAAGGCGGGGAGCGTGTCTCTGAGCCCACCAGGTCACCCTGCTGCTGCTGGTCACCAGGGAGAGGCAGAAGTCTGTGTCCGTGTGGCTGAGGGTGTCCCCAGCACAGCCGGTCGATGCCTTTTTGTGATCCTTCGGCATCCGGGTGCACTGAGAGGCTGGCTGAACTGAAGTGTGGCTTGCGCCCACTTGTTCGTTCCAGACACTGTGTCTGAAGAGGGCTTCAGGGGTGTGTGTGGCCTTCAGTGTGGCCCTAGATGCTCTCAGCTCAGATCCAGTCTCACCAAAGAGGCCCCACATTCATAGTCAACGCTGTGGTCTGTTCCTGGCGTTGCCCAGAGTGACCCCTGATCTCTGTTCCCTTCCATAGAGTCATACCTGCCTCCAAGGATCACCTTGAGGATGAACAGACTATGACTGTGAAGCCTCGAGAACCAGAGGCCCTTAGAAATGAGCTAGTTTGCCCACCTAACCACAACATAACCTGCAGTGCCGCTCAGCATTTGCAGTCTCTTCCCCATTGTGTGTAGTTCCCCACGCAGGAGAGTGCGTGGACGGGGAGCTCACCGCGATCAGTAACTGACTCGGGCTTCTGTGCTCGTGAAAACACAGCCCCTGCCTTCTCTCCACGTGGGAGTGTTTGTCTTCTCCCCCGACCATTGTTCCTCCCACACGTCGCCAAAATACCGTCCCCGGAGGCTGCGCCGGAGCCAGCCACCGGCCTGCAGGTTCCACAGGCCTCATCTGGGTTAGTCGTCCCAAGGCCCCATGAGCCGTGTCCTGTTATCCCCGCCATCTCACAGATGGGGTGAGCGAGGCTGAGAGAGGCCAGTCTACCCGGGTCATACATGAGTACTGGTGGGCCAGCTGCTTCCAGGGACCAGGCCCTTCACACTAGGCGAGGGTGTCTCAACCCCAGCACTGTTGGCGTTAATACCAGATAATTCTTTGTTGGGGCCCTGTCCTGTGCACTCTAGGTGCTTGCCGTCATCCCTGGCCCCACCCACTGGGTACCAGTAACAACCCCCCCCCCAGTCATATTCATCAAAAAGTGCTTCCAGACACTGCCACATGGTGGGTGGGTGGGTGGATGGATGGATGGATGGATGGATAGAAGATAGATAGATAGATAGATAGATAGATAGATAGATAGATAGAGATAGATAGAAGCAAGATCAGCCCAAGAGCTGCTACCCCAGGCTGGTTGCTTCTTGCCTACTAGTGGTGGTCCTGGGCCATTCCTAGGTCAGCCCTGTGCCTGGGCCCTGACTCCTCTCATGCCTGCCTCTTTCAGAACTTGGATCCTTTAGACATGTCCTCTTAAGACCATCTTTCCTCTCTGCTGCTCCATCCAGTACTAGACCGTGAACCCCAGGCTGGGTGCTGCGGCCTATTTCATCCCAGGCCTCAGGGCTGCGGCCAGATGGGCATTGCCCAGAGAGAAGTCTACTGCCCCCACCTGCCAGGCCGCTCCCTTCTCTGCATGCAGGGGCTGTCCTCCAGAGACTCCCGCTAAGCACAGAAGGTTGTGAGGCTGTCCAGCCTGGAACCCCCCCCATCACCAGTTCCCCTCTTCCAGGGCAGGAGCAAAGGGGCTAGAGGGCCAGGAGTGGACCTCCTCCTCCTTGGCCCCTTACTGGTCTATCTGTGAGGAGGTGAGGCCGCCCACACCGTCTCTGGGTTACCTCCCGTGGGTATGGCCATGTCTGTGTGCCCTGGGGGTGGGGGCTGCGACTTGGCCAGACACCCCCAGTGGAGCTGTCAGCACACGGCCCAGCGTGCACTGATCTCGGCCAGGCCAGCCTGAGCAACCCCTGCTACCTTCCCGAATCCATTTCTGACTCCGGGATTCGTTTAATAAACCCATTCATCACCGGCCATTCTGGAAGCCTGACAGGCTGCAGAATGGGAATCGGAAAACCTCTCCTCGCTTCCTGCCCCACCTGCTTCTGTGTTCTGCTTCCCTCTCTCCTCTCTTGCAGATGTGGCCAGAGAGCTGTGTTCCTCTGAGAAATTGTGAGGCTGAATTATTTCAGTGCCAGTAAAGCACCAGTTAATGGAAAGTCCACTTAGTGTAAAGGCTTCGATCCCTTGTCTGTGCATGTGTGCATTCTCCCCCTGGGGATCTTAAGGTGATTTCCTCCAAGCCCAGCCCCAGCCGGGTGCCATCTGCGTTCTTTCCCGAAAGGCGTGAGTGGATGGGACATCTCAGATGTCGAAAGAAGCACCACTCCTCTCCCACCCCCACACCACCCCCAGCACGTCCAGTTTTTAAAGCCCCTAGGATATTATAAAAGAAGCAATGCCAGAATGAGCTTTTTAGAAATTGTGGTATATCTCAAGTTTTATGTTTAATTAATTAATGCTTTTAACGTAAAAAATACAAAGTCCGTGTATTGTAGTAATCAAAATAATTACAGGATTTATTTTTTAAATGCTAATTCATGGTTCATAGCAGCTAGTGTGGGTGGGTAATGGGCCAGAGGGATGGACCTTATCTTCTTTCCACATCGCTGACCGTCTGTTTAGCCTCATTTCTCGACAATGGCAGAAATCTAAAGCTGAAGCCAGTTGTATGGAGGGCCTGGGCAGCAGTTCCCTGGCAGCCCTGCCCTTGGGCTTGGGCCTGGGCTTCAGGCCTTTCTCTGCCCTCCCCACGTGGAATTCTTTGGACCCGCACCCAAGACCAGCTCCCACCTTCTAGATCACACTCCAGAGGTCCGGAGCCCCAGAACCCCCATCCGGATGGCCCTAACCTGACGTCAGGACCTGCATGGATCTCCCAAGGGTAGACTGTGTCCCTAGCACACACCTAGGCCCAAGGGGGGGCCCTGTAAAGGGGAGTGACCAAGTGAGCATGGATATGCAGACAGGGGAGTGGATGATGGGGGATGGCAGAGCCAGGGTGGGAAGAAGAGGGGAGCAGGCCCAGGAAGCTAGCTCTGTGTGCCCCGCTCTGATGTGGAGTCCGTAGAATGTGGGACTCCATTCATACTCTTCTCCAGTGCCTGTCCGCATCAGGGAGGGGCCCACTCTCTCAGCTGCCCCCTCCCTAGTCCCCTACATGGGGTGTGATCTTCGTTCCCCTTCTCATAGGGGCTGCCAGTGGGAACTGGGCAGCTCTCTGCTGTCGAAGTGGGGGTGATCTAGAGTTTTCATATTTACAGTGTGGAAGAGGGATCTCAGCGACAGACATTACCTGTGATTAAACTGGGGTAGAGGGAGCCGGGACCCTGGCAGCAGCAACAACAAAGGCACTACAGAGAGTCGGTCGGAGAGAGTTGCGTAACTTCTGTGAGACTTTCGTCATGTAGAATGGGGACAATAATAATAATAGCTATCTAGTAGGATTCTTTTTTTTTTTTT